ATTTCTCTCAAGTCTTGCGTATCTTTGTTAAATTTATTTGTAGGTATTTGGTGGTTTTTGACAAGGTGAGAATGGTAATACAGGTTGATTATTCCTCTAAAATCCTTGAGACCAGAAGTGATTTGAATTTCAGAGTTTTTTCAGATTTTGGAATATTTGAAGAATACATACCATTGAGTATCCCTAATCTGAAAATCCAAAATCTGAAATGCTCCAATGAGCATTTCCTCTGAGTGTCATGCCAGTGCTCAAAAAATTTCAGATTTTGGAACATTTTTGGTTTCTGATTTTCAGATTAGGGATGCTCAACCTGTATTTTAAACTTTTTCCAATTGTTTATTACTAGCATTTAGAAATACTGACTTTTTTATAAATTTACATTTCTTCCCTAGCTAAATGCACTTATTTCTAGGAGTTTGATTCCTTTGAATTTTGCATGTACAATGAATCACGTTAATAATAGCAAATACAGTTTTACTTTTTTTCTTGTCAATATTTTTGACTTTATTTTTCTAATCTTTTTATATGGGCTCTACCTCCATTACAATGTTGAGTAGAAGTAGAGTGAACATCCTTTCAAACCTTAGGAAACATTTAATAGTTTATCAGTAAAGAATTTAACTCTGTTTTTTTAATGCTCTTTATGCAACTGAGGAAATTTTCTCCTGTTTCTAATTTGCTGAGAGTTTTTTTTTTTTAATCATGAGTGGCCGTTGAACTTTATCAGATACATTTCCTACATCTAGAAATATGGAAATGATTGTATGGTGTTTCTATGTGGTTCCTGTTAATGTGGTGAATTACAGTAATTGATTTTCAAATGACAAATCAACCTTAAATTCCTTGGGTGAACTCTACTTATTCATGATGTATTTTCCATTTTTATGTATTTCTGGATTCACTCTGCCAGTACATTCTTTAGGATTTTTGTGTCTGTGTTTATGAGGGATATTGGTATATAGTTTTCTTGTAATGCTCTTGTCGGATTTTAGTTTAAGGGTTGTAAAATCTAGTTAGGATGTGTTTCTTCGTCCTATATTGTCTGAAAGAGTTTGTGTAAAATTACTCAATTTCTTCTTCATAAGTCTGGCTCATTCGCCAGTAAAGTCATCTACACGTAGAGTTTTCTTTGTTTGGAAGGTTTTTTGTTTTATTTTCACTTCTTTTTCTTAAGTTACGGTTTTAATTTCTTTAACAGATACAGAACTATTTAGATTTTATTTTTCTTAATGTGAGTATTGAAAGATTATGTATTTCAGGGGATTTGTTTTTCTAGCTGTTGAACTTATTAACAAAGTTTTTCATAATATTCCCTTTTAATGTCTGTAAATTCTGTGTTGATTGATGTTCCCTTTTTCATACTTGAGTTTTCTTTTTATCTTAATGAACTTTGCCTAGGGGTGTATTGATTTTATAAATTTTCAAAGAACCAACTTTTGGCTTTATTGATTTTCTCTTAATGTTTCTCTGTTTTTTGTCATCAATTTTCATTTTTAATTTCCTTCATCCTACTGTCTTTGTACTTAATTTGCTATTTTTCCAGCTTTTTGTGGCAGAAACTAAAATGATTTAAACATTTTTGTTTTCTAATATGCACTTAAAACTATAAATTTTCCTCTAAGCATGGCTTTTGCTACATCCCACAGAATTTGTGTTGTATTTTCATTATCATTCAGGTATAAGAATATGAAAATATGTGTATGTATCATTTTTAGAAAACATGTTTAAAATATACTGTACATGGTAGACATAATTTATTTAGTGTTTCTAAATTAATAATTGGCAAGGTGAAAAAATGATATTTTTGTTAATGATATATATTCAGTTAACTCCTCTTTTAAATTAGTATTTAAATCTATAGCTTTTGTGGCTTCTCGGAAGAAAGAGATTATTATTTTCCAGCAGTGAAGATTCTTGTTAGTATGTGAAATGTTCTTAACCTTTGTTCAGCTGAACTTTGGTTCATAGATTATGGATGTATAGATTATAGATTGTTTAGTAGTTATGCTAACTGTAATACTTTATTATAGTTAGAATATTAGTATATTTTATAATAGGGTACAGTTATTACAACGTATTTATAATATAAATATAGTCATAGTAAGTATTATGATTAACAAAGTTTGTCATTTTTATGTCACCTTTCTGGCATTGCATATATTGATTTCCTTTGTTACTGCATACAGTATTTTTATCTAGACCCTGAATATTTATGATCTATATTTTTCTCAAGGTAAAAGTTTTTGTTTATTGTATTTATAGGACTGCCAAGTTTGTATGTGTGTTACGACACTTTAAAATAGTTTTAAGAGTTTTAGCACATCTCAAATATAGAATTTGGATTTGTCATTTTTTTCCCTTTAAAAACTAGTTAGTATGCATGTTATTTCTCTATCTCATTTTATTCCTTTTAAAATATAAAATTATTCACTTAATGTCAAACATTAAAAATTGAACCAGTTATTCACAGTTAATATTATTTTTAATGGGCTAGATGAAAGTCATTTTATTGAGTAAAAATAATTTTATGTTGAAGAGCTTTCTTTCCATTGTTCATGAAGAATATTAGCATTTGTTTTTCATTGGTCTCTATTTCTCATAACAAAGGCATTAGGAAAGTTAAATTTAATATTCACAAATTTGCTTGCTCAGTAAACATAGGTATCTTTCAGAACATCTTATTTAAACTGAATTTGAATCTGTAGGATAATTCCTGTTTCCTGTACCAAATTAGGTCTTTGTCCATAGGTTGTTGTGCCTTTTAAACTTTAAATTCTTATACCCAACATTTAGCTAACTAGCTTATTGTCATAGGCATATGACCCCCTCCTTCTTGTTCCCAACCTGTTCTATGCAGGCTGTTACATTCCTGATTATCTTTATTTATATCGCTTTTGTCATTGTCATATTTTTCGAGATGATAACATACTAATGACATTTTATGTTAAGTATTTATTAATATATTAAGGCATATGGTATAGATTGTATGCAATGTTTCCTTATCCAAAAAAATATTCTTCACTTAATCTTGAAAGGAAAACAACCTGTCCACATTCTTGTTCTCTTTTTTTTCTCTAATACATTTCTAAGAAATAGTCTTCATTTGATGTCTGTGCTTTACAAAATTCTAGCTACATGCAATATGACTCTCACCCAACTTTACTGAACTGCTACCTTCAAAGATCATGATTCAAACACATTCGTCAGTTTTTGAAATCATTATCTTAGCATATCACATTGTTAGTTTATTGCTCTTTCTTTTCTTTCATTATATTAGTTTTCTTTGATGCTTCTGTCACAGTTATATTTTTGTTCCCTCTTACTTTTCTTATCAGTCCTTTCCTTAGCTCTTTGAATGTTCCACCACTTCTTATAAGTTTCCCAAGGAACTATCTCATCATTGTTTTCTGGAGTTTTTATCATTAATAATACAAAGAACCTTAAACTATCACCCCTGTGGAGTTGATTTTCTGGAAAGTATGACTGACTTCTTTTTCCCACTCCACTGACAACCTCTTACCATACATTTTTGCTTCTGAACATACTAGCAACCTGTGAAATTTTACATAACTAAAGCTTAACTTCTTTTCCTGTACCAGTTTCTGGTCTTTCTGGCCTATTCAGTTAATGGTTCTTATTTTCTAACACCTTCCTTTGGTTCCTCCTCCTCCATTCTTTTTCCCTATTTTGTTTTCCATCTACTTTTTACCATCCTTCATCTTTCGTGGAGTTTTTGCACAGCTTCTGATCTCATTTCCAACCACCTGACCATATTTGCTAAGATCAGTCTTCCTAAAGCACCGAAGTTAACATCTTGCTTGAACGTTGTATCCAACTGACTTTTTTTTTTTTTTAACCACCTTTTATTTAAGAATATCTCCTTATCCTGGTATGTAAGGCTAAGTACTCTGGCTAGCCTCAGAGGTCTTTGCTAGCTTTTACTCTCCTTGTTTCCATCATGTTTCAGCCAACCTTGACTACTCTCTATTTCTTAAATAATTCTATTTTTTCCTACTTTTTCTTATGTTTCTCCTTCCACTTGGAAAATTTACTCAAAACCATGTTTCTGCAAATATTTCTACCTATAAATATCCTACCCTCTTTAATGCCCTCAGTAAGCCCCACTACCTTTCCCTTTTTACCACAAATATTATCTAATTTAACATGGAGATTTAAGCAATTATCCTTCTTTTAGCCAGGAAACTCCTTTCCTCCAGCATAACTTCCTCTGAGGCACTTTGAAGCTTTCTTATGGATATATACTGTAATTACACCTATAGTTCTTTTCTAAATGTGCATTCCTTGGCAGTGAGGGACTATATTTTATTAGATCATTTTATTTATTTAATTTTTTATTTCTGTAGAGTGTCTAGCATCAGGATTTCTTCAGAGAATTGTATAGGACTTGCCCTATGCAAGGGTGCACTCCTGAAGGATGGGCTCAAGTGGGGACTAAAGTCCTAAACGGGATGCCTTTTTCTGTTTTGCACATGTGCAGAGGCACTGTCTGTCATTTCATGTAATTGGCACACATGTATTAAATTAGTTCAAGACCTTCTGTACATGTATTACTACTTGTTGTCTTTGTCTTTACTTACTGTAGTCTGCAAGTAGTTTTTTTCTATTATGTTCTCTTATCTATTTAGTCTGTATCATTTCCTTTCTGCCACCAGTTTCTAAAAGGTTTCTCCTGTTACACATCCAGTCTGTCTCCGTACATCAGGTTCTTGCTGTTGTCCATAACAAATTGAAGTGATTTAGTATTTCTTTTGCAGTGTAATTGTTGTCATATGACTATATTTATTTCTAAGCCATTCTTCAGACTGTCTTTCTCTTGAATTCAGGTAATTAAAACCATGTACTATCTGAATTTCCCTTATTTTTTTTTTATACTTGGGTCACCTTCATTTTTTAAGCCTTTGAATTTGTCGTATTTTTATACATGGCTTTATCATTTTATTAGATCTGAGACTCAATTTATATTTCTTCTTATATTTTAGGTCGTTCTTCCCTCTTTCCAATAGATGATGGCTTGCTGGATGATGGTCACAATGATCAAGTTGGTGTTTTAAATTCACCCACATGTTATTCAGCTCATCAAAATGGAGAGCGAATAGAACGCTTCTCTCGAAAAGTTTTTGTTGGTGGTCTTCCTCCAGATATTGACGAAGGTAAGGTAGTGATAGAGCTTTAATAATATCCAAAACAAAAACATGAACGATAATATGAGTAGGGGTATGGAATTTTTTTTTTTAACCTCTTAGAGATTTTCAGAGTTAGAAAGGATAGTCATCTCTGTTAAAATATTTTGTCACCTGTTGAAATATGTAATTGGTAATTGAATGAATACATTTTTAAAGTTTTTTTTCTTTTATATCTTATAATTCATATTGTTACTGTGAGCATTTTTTATAAATAAGAATTTTTATGCCCTAGATCATATTCCACTTATTTTTTTAAGGTATAGAACATATTTGAATATATAACACTTAAAACTTTTTGTATGACCATAACACACACAATGAAATAAATGGAACCAACCATGAAACTGTGTCTGCAGTGCATGACAATCAAATGTTCAATTTCTTTAAGGATAAATGAGCTCTGAGAAATAGGTAAGAAAGAGGCTATAGAACCCAAAAGGGAAATGGAAATAGAAAATAAATAGGAAATTCAGGCTATACAAAGATTAATAAACAGATGTGAAAATGATCGTGTGTAATAACAAAAAAGGAAAAGTAATTCAAGATAAAGATTAATACTGAAAATGTGTGAGGTTGTATGAAATCTACCATTCATTCACAACTAATTGAGAAGATATTGCTACATTCTGGGAAATCTTTCAGTTATGATTCCAATATCCACAAAATTATTCTAAGTATTAATGAGTAGGATAGATTTCCATGTAATGAAATAACTTAGAACATATCATTGAATTTTACCTATTATGTGGGTTTCAGTGAAACTATCTAACATGTGTCAGACCCTAGTATAGCCAGACCTTCATATCAGCAGGTTCCACATCAGCAGGTTTAACCAACTGCAGGTTGAAAATATTTTGAAAAAATAAAAAATAACAGTACAACAACAAAAAATAGTACAAATAAATAATACATAGTTTAACAGCTATTTACCTGGCATTTACATTGTGTTAGGTATTATAAGTAATCTAGAGATGATTTAAAGTATATAGGAGGAAGTGCATAGGTTATATAGAAATACTACACGTTTTTACCTAAGGGACTTGAGCATCTGAAGATTTTGGTACTCTGGGAAGATCCTAGAATCAATCCACCATAGTTACTGAGGGATGATTATATATTTTGTCAGCATTTAAAGCTATTCCAGTCATGTTTCAGAAGACCTGTTTTTCATGCAAGAACATGATTTTATTTGTGAAGCAGTAATACATCTTTTTATTTAACTTGATATAATAGTATTTTTTTCAAGCCATTGCTGTTTATGGTTTGGTGTACTATAAAGCCATTAGTATCCATACAATGTTATATAAAATTTTTGAACTCACCTGGAATTGATTATCCTAGCCAGTATGCTGCTTAAAAATGAATTTATCATTTTAATAAGGGTATTAGACATATTCCCAGTGTTTATAGTCTAGTTTATCTTGGAGTATTTGTCACTTTTAAATATTAAATCTTCAAAGTAACTTAAAATTATGGAATTTCTTAGGATGAATTATTAAAACTAGTTCCTAATGCATATCATTGTACTTTCTAAAGATGAAATAACTGCTAGCTTCAGAAGATTCGGGCCTTTGGTAGTCGATTGGCCTCATAAAGCAGAAAGCAAGTCCTATTTTCCACCAAAAGGTAAGAGGTTTTATTGTTAATATTTGCTAGGGAATAGGTTTTATGAAAAACAGTATCAGTTGCTTACTTTGTGTTTTCTTTTCTTTTAGAAAAGAATATGACCACAACTCTATAAAGTTTAATAGAGTCATTTGTAGAGACTGGTAACCTAGGTTGAATGAGGCAGAATGGCCCAGAGAACTGTTCTAGTTTTACTTGCCAGTCAGAAATTATGAGACTTGTACTCTCGCTGTAATGATTCAATAATGATTTCATAGACGCAGATCAGCAAATGTTTGAGTGTTTTCTCTATCTAACGCATCATTCTAAGTAACTTGGCTATGCACTTATGAAAAAGTGTCTTTCAGTGAAATTAAGATCTATGTGAAGTGATTATATTTTATGAAATACAAATTTATGAATAGTTTGAATATTACAAGATTTATGTAAGTGTTCCAGATAACAGTAGATAACAGCAGAGCAGTATATACTCTGTTGGTGAATAAATAATTTTAGATAGAGGAGAAAGTGACTGGTTGGGTCCTTTTTTTTAACCCCCAGTTATATAAAGAGGTAAAATGCAAAGGAGGATATTTAGTTGTGTTAGTCACTTATTGCTAGGGTAATGCTGTGGTTTGATCACCACAGGACAAGAATCACAAATTGTGCTGATGTTCATGTGCAAGTCACATGATCAAGACCACTGTCTGTGGGGAGGGGAAGTATACCCTGCTCACAATGACAAGGGGAAGGGGAAAAGAAGGAGAGTTGACCATTAATTCGATCAGTCAGAATCGGTAATGGCAGATTTTCCAAAGTGAGTAAAAGAAAGGGGGAGTTTGAAAAACTAAGACTTTTCTTTGAACGTAATTGAAGTACAGTTTTAGTGGAAAAAATGCACTATTATTTTCATGGCTGAGTGAATTGATAGGCTGGAGAAAGGACTCCTAAATAGATCTCTTAAATGATCTGATTTTGACTCTGTGAAGAGAAGCATGATACAGAAGTTATTGGCACACAAAAACTAAAGATTTCTGGTGATGAATTATATGGACCATCTCCACTTTCTACCATTGAGAATTGTAGAACAGCTATTACTAGATCATGTTTTTTTAGAGAAATGGAATAATACAGTGATTTTTTTAAATATACTTTTAGATTTTTATACTTATGGAATCAAGAACATCTTTTAAATAGGGATTCTGGATCCCATGCCTCTATGAGAATCTGATTTAATGCTATGGGCCTCTCCATATACTCTTAAGTTTTCATACAATTTTGGAGTTTACTGGACTGGGATGTCCTAACCCCTTGGTTTAAAGAGAAATTTAGCTCATATACATAGAGATGTTCATTGGTCAGCTTAGTTTTAAGCTACCATTGTCCATAGTTTTACTATCTTATCCTTCCATAAAGTTTGTTTTGAGTGTTCAGTAAAAATGCCTGTTAGTTCCTAATGTTCCTTCCTAGCCTACCATCATTCATTGCCTGGACTGCTGCAGCCATCCTTCTGATCTGTCCACATTTCTAGTCCTCTCCAGTTTTTTCCCAGAGTCCAGCCACAGCAGTCTCTAAAAACTCATCAGATGATGCTATCCCTTATTCCCCTGCACAGAACCCTTCAGTGGCTTCTCTTATTGTTAGAATAAACACAAAAACGCTCCCCCCCACCCCCCGCCTGACCTTCCATCTCTCTAACTGCTTCTCCCACTGTTGCTTCTTGTTCTCTTTCAGTTTTCACAAACTGCCCTTATTCTCTTCTGCCTCAGGGCTTTTAGGTATGGTAGTCTGTTGCCTGCTTATCTTTTGTATCTCAGCTTAAGTGTCAGTTGCTCACAGAAAACTTTGAGGACCCACCTAATGAAGTCAACTCTTCCTGCTATCCTATCTCCTAGCACTCTTTCACAGCACTCACAGCTGCAGTATGACATTTTTACAACTTTACAAATATGTCATTGTTTTGTTAATGTTAGTGTCTTTCAATAGTCTTTAAGTCTTTATTCACCTTTGTGAAAATTTGTATTCTTGTATTCTTAGTAATTCACAGATTGATAATTGTGCAATAAATAATATAAACAACAATAAATACTATAGAATAGAGAAATTACTTTGACCTCTAGTAAGTGGGGGAAAGCTTCACTAAGAAGTTTTGAATTAAATCTAAAAGGTGCTATGTAATTTAAGTAGATAAAAAAGGAGTTGAACAGAGTTCCAGGCAAGAATTGAAGTGTACTTTTAGAAAGGAATTAGAATCGGTTTGGGTGGGGACAGATACACATTCTTGTATGAGCTGCTAGTTCATATAAGGGGATGGAATACTCGAAGCCTAGAAAGGTGGGCTGGAACAAATCGAATGAAATAGAGTAGTTGTCTTCATAGCTACTGTTGCCATCACTATCATTGTGGCTTTTGTGGTATTTGTTTATTTTCTCAAACTGAAAAAAAGAAGTTAGCACTGGCAAATCATAATTTTGTTGGTACAATTATAGTTCATTGTAACCATGGCAAAAGACCAGGATTACCAAACCTTGTTTTTTCAAGTGTTTTTTTCATTTCTGTAATTTAGCTTTTTCCATGGTTTGGAAACACTGGTATAGAAACATTAAGTTGGTGAAGCTACTTGTAATTAAAGCAGTGACTCTAGCCCTTAGATATTAAGCCACACTTGTATGTATGTTTCCTTTGCGGTGAATAACATTCACCATATGTGATTATTAGCTTGCTTTTATAAATTCTAAAGAAACTATTTTATGGCACGTTTTGGTTAAGAGTTTTTTAATATTTAATGGTTTGCATTAGCTACATCATGATCTACCTACCATATGGTTAATTAATTTTTGTGATACAAACATTCACTACTACTAATAAAAATTAATTAAGCAATATTAAAATATTTAATTTAAAGTATTATTTTAAAATTAATTAAGCAATGGGCCGGCCCGGTGGTGCACTGGATAGTGCGCCGCTTGGGAAGCGTGGCGGCGCTCCCGCCCGAGGGTTCGGATCCCACATACAGACCGGTTCCCGCTCACTGGCTGAGCGAGGCGTGGGAGCAACACCGAGGGTTGCAATCCCATTGCCGGTCCCCGGTCCGGTGCGGGGGCAACACTGAGGGTTGCAATCCGTTGCCGGACACGGAAAAAAGACAAAAGACAAAAAAAAAAAAAAAAAATTAATTAAGCAATATTAATATCAAAAATTAAGGAGCATTAAAAATATTGAATTTGAAATACTATTTTAGTAAAGTGGTCTTATATCCTCTTAATAATTACAAAATAGTTATAGTTCTCAGATCCTTGATTAAAGCCTTAAAGAAAACAAGTCTTCCTTTTTTTCAAGCAAATGTTTCTAGCAATTAAAAATTCTTAAGATGTGTTTTTTAATCTTGAATAATCTGACCTTTGGAAGTTTCTATTTTGTGTAAGCTGGTTTGACAATCAGTTGTCAATCTTTACTCAAAAATCATGCAACCAACAGGAAGAATAGACTTTATTATAAAAAGAAGGCATCAAAAATAAAAGGATTACTATTAACTGGCTTCAGATACTTCTTATGCAATTAGCTATTTTAATTTTATTAAAGTGCAGTACTTTTGTGCCACATCAGAACTTGTGGCATAAAATCCATCATTGACAATAAACTGTTTTTTGAGTTCCGAATAAAACATGACCTCACACTTCCCATTGTGTAATGGAACAGAAATGCATGGCCTGCTTGATGTTTGCTTCATATTGGGACTAGATTACAATGTTGTACATTTATTTGCGTAGAAATTTTGTTAAGGTAAGTTATATTTTTAGGTCACTAATAGTTATCAAAGCTTCTGGAAATAATTACAAAATAGTAAACTTGCAGTATATATCTTGAAGCCTTCTTTTTATAATGAAGTCTATTCTTCCTGCTAGTTGCATGATTTTTGAGTAAAGATTGACAACTGCTTGTTCACAAGGAAAGGAGGAAGGGCTTATTTCCCAAAGATGTAGAAGTCAAATCAAGAGCTTGGATCCAAGTCCAAACATAATCTCCAAACAGTTTGGAAAATAGTGTTCCATTTCTCATCTACGTTGAGACTTAATTCAAAAGTTTTGACCCATCTTTAAGGAATATGTTTCATTCCTAACTCTCTAGTGTAGCTTTCTTACTGTAATTTGGAAGTTTTCAGGGGACAGTGGAATTTTTCTTCTACTCATGGAATTTCTTGGGCCTTTCCAAATGTGCTTTAGTTCAAAAGTATGCTCTAGAATTTATATTATCCTGAAGGCATTTATAGGAAACTTGAGCTCCTCGTATAGTCAACTGGTCAATTCTGCCAAGTTCTTTAAGAAGACAGTATACTACTAAAAATGGCATGGGAATCTGTGGGGCTAACCTGGGTTTGAAATTATTCAATCAACTACTTGCTATGAGACTGACTTTGGGGAAGTAATTTAACCTCTTGGTACCTCAGTTTTTTCTTCTGTAAAATGTGATAATGTTTCATAGACTTGTGAGAATCAAATGAGATAATTCATGTAAAAGGTCATAGTACAGTACCTGATAGTAAATACTATATATAAAGCAGCTAACTGCTTTACTGAGTATTTGTTTTTGTGTGTATTCCATAGTATATTGTGTTCTTCTGTAGAAGTTTATAATAGTTCCAGTCCTATTTGATAGTTATTTTTTTTTCTTTTTCAAAATCATGTATTTTCTAAACTACTGAAATTTTGGGTGAGATCACTTACCTTGACATATTATCTTATTTTTAATGGTTATTCCAGGCTATGCATTTCTTCTCTTTCAAGAAGAAAGCTCAGTTCAGGCACTAATTGATGCTTGTATCGAAGAAGATGGAAAGCTCTATCTGTGTGTTTCCAGCCCTACTATCAAGGACAAACCAGTAAGTAAATACCATGTGAACTTTAGGCACAAATGCAAGTTTTCCAAAATCTGTTTTGAAAGTATTTTTTGTTTTTTCATTTTTTTGGGTTTTTTTTGTTTTTTGTGGCTGGCCAGTAACGGGATCCAATCTTGACCTTGGTATTATTGACACCACACTCCTATCAAGTAAACTAACCCACCAGACCTGAAATGTTGTTAATTAATTAAAAAAAAAAAAAACTATCATATTAAGGGTTCAGTTTTTTAAACATCCAGATGATTTATAGTACCTAGATCAAAAATTATAACAGTAATTTGTTTCCAAATTTAACTATACACATTTTTAAAAAGTAAAGGGATTGCTATTAACTGGAAAAAAAAAAAAAAAAAAAAAAACCAGCATAAACTACCAAGGGAATAATACCCAGTATAATTTTCTTCATAGGTTCAAATTCGTCCTTGGAATTTAAGTGATAGTGATTTTGTGATGGATGGTTCTCAGCCTTTGGATCCCCGAAAAACAATTTTTGTCGGTGGTGTTCCTAGACCATTAAGGGCTGGTAAGTAGAATGTTAAACTTTGTTTTTCAAAAAAATCATTTAAATATGAATTAGTCAATTCAGTAAACATTTAACAGCTATTGTGTACGTGACACTGTTAGGTGGTGCAGGGACAGATTCCTCATGCTCCAGTAGTTGTTAACTACAGAATTCTGGGAAAAATTCTGAAACCTTTATTGAAACTCTCAAATAACTAGAAAGGTGGACACTTATCTGTCGATATTAGTAGCTAACTCCTAGTAGACTCTAGAAGAAGAATCTACTTAAATATTTCTGACTTCTTAAGTTTATTTTGGGTCTTTTGTTTTATGTGGGTTAATTCTGGTATCTGAAGAAGAGATGTGTTTTTTTTTTTCTTTTTCTGTATTTTAACCATTAACTATAGTAGCATTTTAGATGAGTGAAAGATAAACTTCCGTTTATCAGTAACCATGAACCAGAAATCTACTGAAAGATGAGAACGTAATTACAGATGTAAATGCCCACTGTATAAGCAAGTTATGTGGTACCCTGTGAAGTATGTTAATGATTTCCATCACCAAACGCGTCCTCTTCCAGTCTAGGAGGTATGTGTTGAGGAACTGTTCACACAAGTAAATACTTACAGAACATGATGACCACTGTAAGGAAAGACCACGGGGAATAGAAGAACATATAGCAAGGGGATGTGATGTAGTCTGATATCTTAAAGATATTTGTATTTGAGCTGTCATATAAAGATTGAGCAAAAGCAGTGGGATTGGAGTGGAAGAAGGGGAGTGAGGAGGAGTGTGTTTTAAAGGGAACAGTGTATTCAAAGGTCTTGAGTGGAGGGAAGCAGGGTGCATTGGAGGGACTGAAAAAAGCCCAGAATGGCTGACTAGGCATACAAGGAGTGAGGGGAGAGACACAAGAAGAAATTGAAAAAGTACATAGGAGTCAGAACATACTAAGCTAATTTGATATTTATCCTCAGAGCAAGGGGAAACCACTGAAGAGTTTTTAAGCAAAGGAGAAGCAACCGTAAGGAGAAGCAACCGTATTTGCAGTTGTAAAGGATCAATTTAGCTAATGACTCAACTGGCTGGGGAGCCAGGCTGAGAGTAGCCTAGTTCAGGAGCCTGTTATTGCAGTCCAGGAAACAGACACTGGAGGCTTGGATTAGAGTAGTGGTGGCAGAGGAGAAAGAGCCAAGTGAACAGATGTCATAGATATTCACGGGGCAAATGCAAAGGCAGAATCACAGCTTTCAGTCTTAAGCCACTAAATGGATAGTGGTACATTTTACTGAGACTTAAGGAACACTGGAGAAGGAGCCGGTTGGGAGGGAATATTGTGATCTTGGTTTTGAACATGAGTTTGTGGCATCATTCAGTTCCCAAATAGAAATTTTAAATAAACCATGTGGTATCTGGTATATTTTTTAAGAGAATCACTCTTGCTACTGTTTTTAAAATAAACTGGGCAGTCAGGGATCTAAAGCAAAGAGATAAGGCTTTTGTCATGAACCAGATGGAAAATAATGATAGCTCGAAATAGGGTGTTAATGATGGAGGTGGGAAGATCGGATTCTAGATATGTCTTGAAAATCAAGTTCACAGGATTGTGTGTGCAATAGGGGGAAAGAAAACAGAAAGGATGAAGCCAAGAATCTCAACAGAGCAACTTCATCCTTCCCGTTACTTACTAACTGGATCAGCAAAAACCTCATCGGAGCAGGTTTAATGGGCTAGAGTAAGATATAAATTCCATTTTTAACACAGTGTTGCCATGTCTGCTAAGTATCAGTATGAGTTGTTCAGTAAACAGCTGCATATATGAGTCCCGAGGAGAGGTCCAGACTGGTGATACATGTACATAGTATTTGAAGCCATGACACAGGATGAGACCACCAAAGCCCGGAGTGTAGATAGAAATGTAAGAACTGAAACTTACAGTTCTCTGACATTGAAAAGTGAAGGAGTTCAGGAGAAACTATCAAGGAAGACTAATAAGTTATCAGTGATGTAGGAGGGGAATTAGTAGAATAATGTATTCTGGAAGCCAGGTGGAGAAAATATTTCATGGAGAAGGAGGGGACTGACTATGTTCAATGCTGCTTACAGGCAGATTGATCACTGGACTTCGTAATGGAGAAAGTGACCTTGACTTAGCAATCAAAGTAGAGTCATGAGGTAATAGCTTGATTGTAAAGTGTTGAACAAAGAATGTGAGAAGAAGGATTGGGGAGTACAGGAAAAAATTTTGAGGAATTTCGTTTTAAAGGGAAGAACAGAGAAATGAAGCAGTAGCTTAGAAGGAGAAATAGTGTTATGAGAATATTTTTTAAAGATGGTACACATTACAGTATACTTGGGAAATATCCAGTATGAGGAAAAAAACAATGGTACAGAAGGAAAAGGGGAGAATTGCTGAAGCAGTGTTCTTCCATGGTGAGAACAGTCTAGGAGACAGACAGTATACATGTGAATAGAGTGGATTTAGAGAAGAGCTTGGAACTATTTATCTGTATTACCAGGAGAGAAGGCAGAGTGGATAGTGGGTTTAGTGTTGGTAAGTGGGTAGATGGGTAGGGGTGAGTCTAACTTTATATTAAAAAAAATAAAAATGATGGGGGCCTTTCTTAATCCCAGTCTCTCCTTGAACAACTGCCTCCTGTCTACCATATTCCTCCTGGTTAAATGTTAGTCTCCTATTGACTTTTCCTTGCCTCCTGTCTACCATATTCCTCCTGGTTAAATGTTAGTCTCCTATTGACTTTTCCTTGCCTCCTGTCTACCATATTCCTCCTGGTTAAATGTTAGTCTCCTATTGACTTTTCCTTTTTTTTTTTTTTTAAAGAAGTACTTAAAAATTGTTAATTTACTGTGTTTTCTCACATTTGCTGTAAACTTCTTTTCCTTTCAAAGTGGAACTTGCTATGATCATGGACCGGCTATATGGTGGAGTTTGTTATGCGGGAATTGATACGGATCCTGAGCTAAAATACCCAAAAGGTGCTGGGCGAGTTGCTTTCTCCAATCAACAGAGCTATATTGCTGCCATTAGTGCTCGGTTTGTTCAACTTCAGCATGGTGATATTGATAAACGCGTAAGTTGCATATTGGGTAATCACATTATGTCCTATCATAAGGTGCTAATCCAAAGCTTACTACCCTAAAGAGTTAACAATATAAATCAGACATTGAGTATTTTTTTTTATACTCCATTAACTCTTAGAGCTAAAGGCTATTATAATAAAATGTTCTTGAAATGTAAGATTCTTAAACACACTTTAAACGTTAGGTATAATATAAAAAATCTAAATGTTATTTTAAAGCCATTTCAAAATTTTTGTATCAGCCAATGATTTCTAAATATCCTAACCATGAAGGCAGAGCTTGTTTTAAGAGTTTGTAACCTGGAGCCAGACTGCCTGGGATCGAATACCATTTCCACAATTTGCTCTGTAATTCTAGGCAAATTAACCCTCTCTATGCCTCTTTTTCCTCACGTATAAAATGTAAAACAATAATAGTATGTCTCTTTCAGTTATTTTGGGGATTGAATGAATTCACATATGTACAAGCACTTAGAGTAGAACTTGGCACAGAGTAAGTTTTAATTTTCACTTGTCATAAAATCTAAGATAAAAATATATTATGTATATTTCCCTAAAATAATTGACCTAAACTTTAAAACATTTGCTGTTTAGTGCTTAGGTCATCATAATAAGAACTCTTAAGAACTCCTATGCATAATAACTGAAAGCCACCCTATTGAAGAATTCCTAGTACTGATTTACCATCTAAAATAGAAGAACAGGGTGAACAAAATGCAGTTATTCATTGACAAATCTGTTTCATACTAAAATCTATGATAGTTCCTATACATAGCTAAGGAGTATTCCAAAATAATGATGTTTACATTTATAGTACAGCTGATATATACTAAGAATATGGGATAAATGAATTTTTTTATATCTAAAATAGTAAATATAATTTGAGTGGTTACTTATTTTCCCATAGTAGCAGTTTCATTTAATAAAGCCTCTTTGAGGATTTTTGCACGTTAAAAGACTATTTTGGGGACAGGGAGTCTAGTTAACTAGGACTAATTGAGTAGACCATAGACTCTAGAAGTAGTCATCAAAGTAATTATCAAACTGTCTCATTTAGAAAAGAAGTATAGGATAGGTTCGACAGTTCACAAATGCAGAGTGGCTTCTTTGTTTGCATAGCTACTTAAAACGTTGCCAAAAAAGTATCTAAGAGGAGAGGCTGTGCTTTTATTCATACACACATCATAATCTTTTTGAACTGTGTGAACCTTAGAATTCCTTTAGTTCTTTGGTTTTCAGCCTCTGCTGCACATAGTCATAAAGGAAAAAGTTAAGAGATAAAGATTGAGCATAAAAATTTTAGAATTTGTGTCAAATATTGTTATAAAAATCAAAGGCCAATGGAAAATAGGTTAAAAATCCTTAACTGGCAAAGGTAACTTATAAATCAATTAAAAAAAAAAAAAAAAAACTCCAGCAGGAAAATATGCAACAAACAAGCAATTCAGAAAAGCACAGTGGCCAATATACATAAAATGTTTATCTTAACCATAATTAATGAAATACAAACATAAAAATGTAATTTCATTACCTTTCTATCAAATGTTTGTCTTACTTCTTTTCATCAGCTTTTCGGTCGTTTCAAGTTTGTTGTCATTGTTCTCACAAATAAGGCTGCAGAAAATATCCTTATATATTCATTTTCTGCACCATGCAAGTATTTCAATAGAATACATTCAGAATAGAAATTGTTAGTTCATTATTTTTTACCTTGGGGAAACTGTACTTTATCTCAAATCCAGCCCTTCAAAACACTCAATTTCTTATCCTTTTTCTAAGGAATGGCTGAGATCTAGGCTGTCAGAGAAAGTAACCTTCCATTCATAAAGTTATTACAAGCAAGAAAGCAAGGCTATCGCAGCTAATAGTAGTTAACACTAATTTACAGAATATTTACCATGTGCCAAGCATTATCTTATGCTTTTACATGCATAATTTAATCCTCACAACTCTGAGCACATTTTATTATTCTCACGTTGGAAATGTGGAAATAGGTTGAGAGGTTTATCATTCAAAGCTGATTCCAGTCTGAGGTTTTCTGCTGTTAGGCCTTCACAGTGGGACTTTTACTTAATATCTTATAAATTCACAGGAGTTTAGACATGCCATTCATGAGATTATCCACAGTTATGGTTTTTCTGTACCAATTATATACAAGAAGGGCATGTCTCTCACCTACAGTAGAGAAGCACTGCTGTAATTGGTGGGTGAGGGCTCTGCCATCTCACAAGGTGGTATTGGAATGGGCAAAAAAGGGCTAAAAATCCTTTGTTCCCCCATGACTATTTGATATCCCTTCTGTTTTTCACTCAGTCACCCATACCTCTAAAAATATCAGCACACAGGTGTTTCAGAGATGTTACTTCAAGAAAGGTGAGGGGTGGAATATTTTGCAAATCAGATTTTTTAGTTTTTAAAATTATTTTCTACCTTTGGAAAATATGAACATTTTCTTTATAGTCCTCTGAAAAAAAATATTAAAATAAAATAAAATTACCAAATTATGTGCTCCTAATTTAACCACACAGCCAATTATGAAGCATCATATATAAAATGACTAGCACAGGAACAAAATGACTTAATTTTTTTTTCAATCTATAGTAAAGCTACTTTCCTGGGAAACTGCCTACTTCCCTTTTAGTGCTGGTCCTTTTCTCTAGAACACCATACAAACATTTAAATTATTTCTAAATTTGATTTCTGAAGCAGACCCTAATGAGACATTTTTCTTCTCTTTTTTTCTAGGTGGAGGTAAAGCCATATGTGCTAGATGACCAGATGTGTGATGAATGCCAAGGCGCACGCTGTGGTGGAAAATTTGCTCCCTTTTTTTGTGCCAATGTCACTTGCCTGCAGTATTACTGTGAGTTTTGTTGGGCAAATATCCACTCTCGTGCAGGACGTGAGTTCCATAAGCCATTGGTAAAGGAAGGTGCCGATCGCCCACGTCAGATCCACTTCCGCTGGAACTAAGAATAGCAAACTGGCCGCTATCCCACAAGGAGAGAAAGGGTGCATGTGGCTTACTGTGTCTGAAGATACTGACATGCAGAAGAAATAAGTGCATTCTTCTGCTTTCACCCCAGCTGTCCATACGTGCATCTTTATCAGCAGCCAAAACACTGCAAGCCTCTTGTTTTTCACCAAAACCCTACATCTCAGGCTTACTAATTTTTGTGATATTTTCATGTTAAAATAAAATGTTTTTTTGTATTTTCTCCAACTTATTTTTATATGTAAAGTTAAAATTAGATATGAGAATGTTTTGCGTAGGGGCAACACAGTCTGCTGCTATATAGTGGGTGAAGCGTGCACTTATTTCTAAACATGGGTTTTTAACTTCAAGATCTGCCCCAGTAATTTACCAAAGGTAGCAAAATAATAGTGAAGATGGAATATGTCTGCTACAAATGCTTATTTTTATTGTTGCTATTTTCAGTGTATACATAAACTAAAAATTAGGGTTGATTTTTTTGCTCTCCATTTTGACTTGCAAGAAATAATACCTCAAGATAATCTGATTTATTAGCTATTTTTAAACATTTTTAATCACAAGCTGTATTAGCTTTGCTGCTATATAGGTGTTATGTGTAAATGCCACCTATTAATACGGGATTGAAAATGTTAGAGACACACTGCATTGCAGACAAAATGCAGGCAGCACAATATGGCCTAAACTGCCATAGTTTTAGAATGTGAAAAAAATGCATGTTTACTTACCTGTATACACCTTATGCATGCACTAGAATTATTAACTAACAAGAGGTGAGGTATTGCAAATGTTCAAAAAAGCTCTCTTGAATCTAGGTAGCATGAACAAACTATATAATTTGTTTAAAAAAGCAAACTTGCATGCATTTTTGTGACTTCAAGTAAAAAAAATTGTCCTACATGTGTACAATATGCAAATTAGTTTTAGATTAGAGAGTGCAGCCATTTTGTGATCTGGTCGGTAGTGGAATCCGATTTTATGCAGACTGGATGTAATATTTGTAAACCCTGTGCAATTTTGTGATGTGCGGTTCTGATTCATGTGCAGTGATATAGTATAGTGAATAAAAGAATAATAAAAGAATTGTAAAGAAAGTTGATTTTAGCCCCTTTGATAGTTCATGATTAAGACATTCTTTATAAACCAAAGATGGCCAGCACACTGCTAACCAGTCACCAAATGTAAGACCCATAAAAAACCCATATTTTAAAAAATGAATTTTATAGAAGAATGCAAAACTTTAGTAAACCTAAGTAAAGTCAAAATGGAGATGGAGAAAT